TCTCTCTCCAATCAAAACGACATTTCTTCTCCAAACAGTTCCTCGCCAATAAAAAGTGGTTATGTGGAATGCATCTATGCATTTCTGATTTCTTCACTGTCAATACTTAGTGACAAGATGGAAGAGAGTAAACATCATAGCAACAGGAGGACTAACTAATACCATATGTAGCCTAACATTGGTCCTTATAATATGCTGTGCTATCAGCAATGGATTTCTAATCACAGTAGAGCACATAATGTCAATCTAGGCGTTAACAGCATGGCTTAGCACAGGTAGTACAGCTGTCTCCATCTTGTCATCCTCTCACATTTCACAGCAATGAAGCAATCACATAAATTCAAGGACGTCCAGCAATTTTTTAATTAAAAATCAAAAAGCGCAAGGATTAGGCCTCACTGCTATCATGCTGCCCAATCTGAGTGACTGGCACAAACAATATGCCTCACTGGATCGCAGTGCAGGCATCTAGGTAATTATCTTGTGTCTACTTGGGTGCCCCACACCCGTCCAATGCTCACAGCGGAGCTTTTCAAGTCAAGGAGAGAGTAGACGAGAGACATAAAGGAAATGAACAATGCCTTCCAGACCTGAAGAGGAAAAGAAATGGTTGTGGTGCATAATGGTAACCCCCACCTCAGTGCAAGACAACTGTGGCACTAAAGCCGAGGAACATTACCCAGGCACCTCCTAATTAACAGCCTGCCATGATGTGCCTGCTACTGTGATGCCATTTGTCTTCAGGAGAGCCAACAGGCTAGGCTGTCACCCATGTGTTAAAGTAAAAGCAGGATCTTTTGTTTAATCCTATCAGTTTTTAGATACACGTTTGGTTGAATATATTAATAGGTAAAATAGCCATGCTGGTCCATAATATAGCTGCAGATTGTACAGGCAAAGCTGAAAAGGGCAGTGATTTAGCTGTATTTCTCCAATGCTGGAAATAGTATTTGATTTAGCTATGCAAAGAACTTTGAAGCTAATATTTTCATGTGCCCCTCATTAGCCCGTCTAAGTTAAGCTAAATCAGCCCTCAATACAATGAGCTGGCAAGATGCCTCCGATGAATACCGATAGACAGCCACCTCTACTTTTGCGCATCAGCTGATTTATTGTGGTAAGTTATATAAAAACGATGTGTCGCTAACTTAAGCGACGACGTCCTCCTTCCTGACGTTAGCTTAGCTAAGCTAACGGTTAGCCTCCAACCCCCAGTCTGATTCTCTCAACTAACGTTAGCTAGCTATCCATTCCACTCCACCCAAACCCCCTCCCCCATGACACCCACCCTGAAACGCAGGAAAAAACGTCAAATCTGGTTTCATTTCATACCTGGAGTGAGCCTGTGTTCGCCTCCTATGGCCGGAGGAGACATCGAATGCGTTGGGCTGTCGACTGGGGGACGGAGGTTGCATCTTTGCGGGGACGGAGTGCCAGGAGTCCCCGGTAGTGGATTGCACCTTCTCCGCTTGGGAGACTGGGGACTGAGGAGGGCCTCAAACTCCATCGACCGCTTTAACGTTGCTCCACAAGCCATGTTAGCTAAACAAAACGGGAAAATATACGTTGGGGGAAAAAACGACCCGCAAAAACTGGGGTTTAACGCTCGGGGTTTGTACGTTAAACGTCGCTCTAATTTCTTGAGCCTTTCTTCCTCTCCACAACAACGGATCTTCTTCTCTGAGTAGTAAGCCAACTGCCAGCCCTGCCTGCTGAATTTTTAAAACGTCACAATGGCGGACCGTACCATTGGCGAAAAGAGGGGGGTTCTCAAATATTTACAACACATTATATTGTTTATTTCACCGATCTAAACAGAAATTCTTACCAAACCCTAATTCATTTAACGCATTACTTTATAAACAGTGGGATAAATTGTGATGTTGTTTTCTATTTTGGCGTCCTTACGCTGCGATATCTTGCCATCCAACCCTATTGTTGTTGTTGATCGCTTTCCGTTGAACTCAAATTGAAGGTTCACGAGACGTCTGCTGGTGGTGGTCAGGTAAATCAGGTAGATTAAAAAGTGCTTTTAGGATTAATCTCCTTCAATAGAAAGCAGATTTTATTTATTTATTTGCCGTCTGTCAACAACTAACAGGCTTCACATTGTATTTTCACATAATCCCGGCGAATAAACACAAAGGTTGAGGATATCTCATTGATAAATACCCTTTTACAATAGGCAACGTTCCTGCATGGTGATGATGACCTGGAATACAGTCCCTGAGCAGCAACGTGTTGAGCTCTGTACACTGTGACTAAAAACAGGAACTGTGTCGTTTTAAAACAACACAAACACATTTGTTTTGTACTATCCGATCTTATCTTTGTGGTATCAGCCACATGCTCTCACTCCAATTGTATCGCATGCATCAACAACCAGTCACACACTGCAGTCTATTGTCTGTTTATTGAAAATGGCAATGTCCAGTAAAAAAAAAAAAACAACAATAATTTTATATGTCCTGCTGTCTCCACCGCTGGGTGTTCATCTGACTGTGATAATATTGCAAAAAGCTTCCCTGCACCCAAGATAAACTAATAAAATTAACTTTGTTGATACCTGATTGGACAGTAACTTTCTCAGTGGGATTAAAACTCTTTCTTACAGGTGTATCCTGGGTTTTTAGTGCATAATAAATTACTATGGGCAAATACAAACAAAACAAAAGCAATAATTGTTATCAAAAAACCCATGGGAAGAACTAAACATGCAGCCGGGACACTGTTTTGCAGTATATATTATAACTTTAATCTAGGTTAGAGTAGTTTAAACTGCTGGGAAGTATTTAGCAATTTAAAATGAAATAGCATTTAAGCATCTCTATGTAAAAGAATATGGGCAATCATATTCTTGATATTCCATTAAATGATACTTACATCTATATTTTCCTCATCTACTACATTTTTTTGTTGTAGTTGCTAATGATTTTGCAGGTGTCAAAGTGTATTGCATTACAGTGAAAGGTGTTTCTAATATTCAATCTACCGTTATTCATGTAAAGTAAATAAACAAATACAAATGCCAACTTACAGTGTAACAAATCTTATCACTTCTCTCTAAAAGGACAACAATTTTAACAAAATCTTAACCTTTATGAAGGTGGGATTTATTGCAGGGTTGTTTTATTAGACCTGATAATTAACTGATAACTGAATGTATATCACCTGTGATCATCCTCTAGACCAGGGGTGTCAAACTTATTTTAGTTCACAGGCCACATGCAGTCTGATGTGGTCGCAGTTGGGCCAGACCTGTAAAACCATTGCATGATTTCCTATAGATAACAAACACCTCCAAATTTTCTCCCTTTTTTTGTTTAAAGAAGTACATTTTAAAACACTCATCCATTTACAAAACAGATGACAAACAGCCTGTGATGTCTCCAGAAGAATAAATGCAGTTTCAACAATATTTCTCAGTTTGTCCACGTTCAGTCAGTCGACTACTCACAGTCAATACATATGCATTAATCCATACATTTCCACTCGTGCGTGGTAATCCTGACATCTCCACACCAAACTGAAGTGAAAGAAAAGAACTGTATTCTGGTCACTGCTATTCACTGTTGAACTTGCTCCTGAAACCTGGCACCTCTTAGCCTTCACAAGTGCATCACTACTAGGTGTGCAAGGTGATCCAGTGGGTCGGAATGGACCCTTTGGCGGGCCAGTTCTGGCCCCGGGGTTGTATGTTTGACACCCCTGCTTTAGACTTTAACTTTTAGGGAACAGTGTACATATAAAATGCCCTGCACTCATCTGTTCTCTTCTCCCATCTCTTGCCCATACAGAATTATGTATTTTTGTATTATGGCTGATTTTCTGGCATAGCAGACTCCCAGTGTTCAGCATGCCACTTTGTTTGTTTGTTTTGTCACAGAGTAAGATTAACTTATAGAATTTGCTTAAAAAGAAACATGTAATAAGTCAGAATGGAGTATAGTATGGAAATTGTGGTTGAAACACGTGCTCTGTCTTGTACGTGCAGTTGTGAGTTTAAGTGTGTCAACATGTGTTTTACGGCAGCTGCCAGTTGTAACTATCGCAAAGAGTGTTCTAGTGTCTGTGCTCGTTCTCTTGTGCCCCATTTACCTCGGCACACTGCTTGGACTCATGTGGTGAACATTGTGTGAAATCCTCACGTGCATGGGGCTTTTGTGGAGTCCTGGCATTCATGTGCAGATGGGATAACCCACAGTGTCCTCTGTTCGTGCACGCTCGGGGACAAATACTCAAACATAAACAAGCACACTAACAACAAATCCAATTTTCTACCATGTGGTGAGCCCAAAAGTTAAGTCAGCACTTCAGTTCACAGCACACAGTGTAAGTCATAGGAGTGAGAGCGGTAAAGCACAGACATGGGAGGGAGTGAGGTCAAAGGTTAAAGGTTAGATCATGGGCGCAGGTTTTGTTTCAACATTGGAGGGGGAAACATGTGAAACGGGGGGGTTTGAGGATACTCAACCAGAACATTTTAGCATCAAAAACCTAATGTCCTGCATTCTGGTGATTTTTTATGCACCAATTTGTGCATTTTCTGCTTCAATTTATGTTGTTAATGTCTTTACCTTTGTCAAGACAAAGGTCCTCTGCCACATTCATGTCTTTGTTAAAGGGAACAAATGTATATGTTCTAAATATTCGGGCATGTCACCTCTGAAATCTACACCAAATGGCCACATCATCTCACTTCAGTCCAACATAAACTTAACCTTTTGTCTGACCTGAACCAAAGCACAGAGATGAGAAACTCTATTTCCACTGGAATCTGCTACTAGTGATTAGTTCTAGCTATATTTTTAAATTATAGCACGTTAATTATACTTGTTGTGTTACGATTCAACTAATGTGTAATGGTGACAAAATATTTGCCAAATCTAATGTTCTCTTAAGCTGCCTTTTGAATGTATATTGTATCTGCAAGTAAAACTATGTGTAGCAAATTTCCTACATTTCATAGACTGTCTGATCTTTCTACTGACAATATTTATTGTGTTATAGCCTTACTGCAATAACCTTGATCAAAAAGACAAGTTAAAGTTTTTGCCAGCACTAATAATCCGATCGAAAGAAATTCTGCTAATTTGTATTGAAGGTTTTGATGCTTAATCTACGGGAAGTTTTCAGCGATGTCCATTTCTACACCCTAAGCACGCTGCCACAAATACAGACACTGCCTGTACCGCTACTCAATTTCAGTCTCAGATTTTCTGCTTCTGATCGTTCACCATATCTGAGATCGAGTTAAGTCGGGTGGTTCTGGTCTTGGGCATCTCATCCTCAGTTACGGCAGTACAGTTGTTGTCTTCTGCAGAGGGTAATCCTGGGGTTAAATCCTCTGTAGATTTTTTACACCTTCCAAACATATGCAGCCTTTGTAGCAACTGCAGCAGAGCAACTCTTAGCTCTCGACAGCGCAGTGCATACAGCAGTGGGTTGACTGCAGAGTTGACCAGGCAGAGGGTGCTGCAAAAGGCAAAGGCCCTCTGCTGGTTGTGGGTCAGGATCACAGAGACATCAGCCAACATGAAGGAGAGTGCAGGAAGCCAGCAGCTCACTAGTATGACTAGGATCAGGCCAAAGGTGCGCGCTAGCCTGATATCCATCCTCATGCGGGCCTGGCCTGTGCCTGCTGCTCCCTGGAGGCTGGTCATGGAGGACTCATGCTGGTGAGCCTTCCACAGGATGAGAGCATAAGCCCCCAAAATGAGAGCCAGGAGCACCAGAGTGAGGCTGGTCCAGCAGGCCAGATAGCCCTGGCTGATGTAGGGAAACAGGCGTGAGCAAGGTGGATTAAGCCCTGTGGGACACCTCCAGCCCATCAGAGGCAAGAAGGAGATGGCGATGGTGGCACTCCAAAGGATCAGCAGGCTCAGCAGAGCTCGCCGGCGGGTGAGCAGAACCTTGTAGCTGGAGGCCTGCTGGATACAGAGGTAGCGGTCCAGAGCAGTCAGCAGTAAACTCCCCACTGAGCTGGTGAAGGCCATGGTGACACCACCTAATTTGAAGAGGTAAGCAGTGGGGCCGTCGCTGCGCCGAAACAGGTGAAAGTCCAGGAAGCTGGTGGTGAAGAAGCAGCTGGCGAAAACATCTGCCAGAGCGAGGCTGGCAATGAACAAGTAGGAAGGCCGCCGCCGCAGGGTGGCTGTGGCAGCGATCACTCCCAGCACAAGAACATTTTCCAGCAGTGTGATGGGACCTGCCAGTAAACAGATGGAGCCGATGGCTGTCTTCTCTGCCTTGATGAGGACCATGTAGCATTCCAGATTCTCACAAGACCTGTTCACTGTGAGAAAAACACAGGTATAAACAGTGTACTGAAACTACAACTGCACAAATAAATGCACCATTAAAGGTCCAGTGTGTAGGACGTAGGGGGATATATTGACAGGAATTGAATGGAATATGATAAGTATGTTTTCTTTAATGTATAATCACCTGAAAATAAAAATCATTGTACTTTTGTTACCTTAGAATGAGTCATTTATGTCAACATAGGGAGCAGGACCTCGTCTACAGAGTCCACCATGTTGCATCACCATGCTAACACTGATTTTTCCAATGCGAAATTGCGTTATTCAGTGTTTTTACCAGTTTAAATCACTAGGCCTCTTTGGTTTGGAGAGGATGAGACCTCTACAGATGCTTACTTAATGTCTGAATCTTAAGTTATCAGAGCAAAAAAGGTGAGCATACATTAGCACGTTGTCAGAGAAACACTGATTTGTAACATGAAAATGCTTTATTCAGTGTTTTCACTCATTTTAAACGCATGGTTCTTTTATTTTGGAGTGGAAGAGACCTCTGCAGATAATTTGGTTCAACAATGAACATTGAAGGAATCCCAACCAGGAGAAGTTTCAGCTGATTGCAATCTGCATACCCCACTGCTAGATGTCACTAAATCCCCCTAAATGTTACACACTGTTCCTTTAAGTATTACATTTGCTGGAAAACCCCATTTCAGATTGAGGGTGCTTACCTATTGGGGATGAGACATTCCCTTTAGCTTCTGTGGGTCCTAAAGATGTGTGAACCTCCCACTCCTCCATTGCAACTGTTACTGTATGAGCCAGTACTAGATTATAAGTAGAAAATAAAGAAAATTATTTCAATATGTTATTCTTTATATAGATTATGATCCTGTCTGTCGCAAAAGAACAAGACTTATTAACAGCAGAAATTTCCAAAATAAAAGTACTGCATCTTAAGCTTTTTCAGTTTTATCTTAACTTCTAAAGCACATAAAAACAATGTCATGTTGAGAAACAAAAATACAAGTAAAAAGCAATAAGTTAACGATAACTGAAGTAAATGGGTTAGACAAGACAGAACAATCAAAACATTTACAGGAAAAAAAGAAATAATCAGTGTGGTCACTGTGTCAATATTTGATGACAAGCATGTTTTACGTTGTACATCCAATGTTAAAAGCTGTACATACAAGTGGATGAGACAATCAGCTTCCTGTGGAAAACAGATAAAGTAGAAGATGTAATGCCTTTTCCTCTCTTTGTCAATATTGAACTTGGTGCTTATAGGGAACATTAACATTTGTGAGTCAAGACGGAAAGTCATCTAGAGGTCAATTATCATTACAGTATCTGCCTGGGCTGATATTGAAGAGATGGATGCAAGGAGCCTTAAGCAAGACATAAACTACTTCTTACTCAATGAACAATTGCCAAATTTTATTCAAGAAAAAACCTTCTTCTTCTTCTTCTTCTTCTTTAATATGTACTACAACCTGTGTGATTAACATGGCAACCTTTTAAGGTGATTTTCAATGTGAATGTCATGCATATCTCACAAATGTTTAAGCATGCAGCTCATATATGATGATGCTGTCTTTGTATCGTGTGTATGCCCAATGAAACTTTCGAAAATCTCTCTCTGCAAGACATCCTCTGTGCTTTAAGTGATTTTTTATTAACTGAATCCAGAGAATTAATATTTAATCCATATTTCCACAATCACTTTGGCAGGGATTTTACTGTAAGTGCATTCAGTTATCTGCAGAGATGAACATAACAGCAGCCTCATGTTGTTGGCCTATTATCACATTTAACAGGATGAAGACTGCCCCCTTTTGGAATTAGACGGGATTGTATTGTAACAAAACGGTAAAGCAGAGGCTGAAGGTCACCACAGAGATGAGCAATCTGCTGCAGAGTGCATCACCTGTATGCAATCAATAGATTAAAGTATGTGTGGGAAGCCGGTGTGAGAGGGATTTGATTAAAGTAAATAATGCTGTGATAAACAGAGAGTGGCCCCCTATGATTGCTTGCAGAGAGTGGTTTAAACGTAATATATTTTATAGTCAAAACATGACCTAAACACACAAAAAAATATGAATGTAAATCACATTGATTTTAAAGATAAAGCTGGGACATTACATACATCACATAAAAATAAACATTGATATGGACTGAGGGAAGTAGTTGGCGCATGTGATGCAGTATAAGTGATTATAGACTAAAGGGAGCACTTTCACCAAATCAGGTCACTGTGCCCTTCAATTCCTTGTTTTCCTTTTATTCTATTCCTGCAACCATTATTTCTGTTTTTCATCATAAATATGACACAGCCTTATGAAAGCACAGAAAATATATATGTGGGTAAAAGTAGTAGGAGTAAATTACTTTCCAGAAAGCCCTTTATTGGCTTGAGGGGCAATATTTCCCAATACAGGCCATATGGGTGCAAGCACTGTGGATATTACACCACCTCAGGCTCTTTTCTCCCTCGTGGTGAGGAAAGAAAAAATTGATTGACACAGTGCTGTGCTTTGACTCTTAAGAACCAGTCAGACTTATAAAAAATGATTGTCTCTTCAAGAGCATACAGGAGCAGTGCATACAGGAACCTCCATATATAATAAAAAACATACAGGCATCCATTTTAGTCACATCACTGGCGACATGCACAGTGAAATACAGTGTGGCAATAACCCCTTGAGTCACTGTTGCACCGCGCCACATTATTTCAAAATATCACAAGCCCTTCTGGCTCAAGATGGGGGAAAAAATGAAAACACTAGTTCAAGTCTCGTGTTTCATAGTAGCAGGAGAGAATAAAAGCGTTAAAAAATAGGTCAAAAGTAGCATACATATAGTGCATGAATACACACAGTGAATAAAATGAAATGTAAATCACATTTTCATAGATATGGCAATGCCTTTCAAATACAAATTAGGAAGTTATTATTTCTGCATCTTAAACCTGTGATAAAATAAACTTAAAAGAGCTTACCGTTTGTTGTGTCTTTTGGGTGGTTTCCTTGTTTGCTTCCTGCTAGAGGGGCACCCGAATCAAGTCTCAGCCACAGAGCAACCACAGCATGATCGCACGGTCCTGCAGACCTGACTGGTGGCAAAGTGCATGAGTGAGGGGAGAAGATAAGGAGGGTGGTTGTGATGACATGAGAGAGAGAGAGGGAGGGAGAAAGAGAGAGACACACATGTGGAGAGATGACAGAGACCTACATGTACACTGGAATCTGTGACAAGAATAAAGTAATAGCAATAAAGTCCAATTTTTATGTGTTTTATTGTAACAGCAAAAGGTGAAAGGGACAAGATGAAACATTTACACAGTAATAAAGGCCAGCAGTATTGATCACACACTTCTTGCCTCTCCAGCAGTCTGGGTCAGGGTGGACTCCAGGGGAGGAGAGCACTTAAGCAGGTGTGAAGAACATGTCGATAAAAAAGAAGAGAAAAACGCACCATATGACCTTTATTCAAAATATGTGCACAAAATGACCTTTAAAAATCGGATTTGGCTGCAAATCCATCATCACAAACCTGTGAGTGTTTTTCTAATGCATTAATAACCTGATAAGCTCATGCTGAGTTAAGATTATTGTGCCATACTACTATCCCCCAGGTTAAGAATGAACTTTCATGCTCATATTTATAACCTCATTTGTCTCATCCAGTCAAGGTGGCTATAAAACATCTTGCCGTCGAATTATTCCTATTTGTGCAGCGACAGTTTTTCCTTCCACCTCTTTTGCTAATTACTTTCCACTCATCTTCATTTGACGGACAGTATCTACCATCACACATGCACAACACTCCCTCACATCATACTCCTTAAAGGAATACAAACATATCCAAATTTCTCGCCTTTTGTGGATGGAAAGCACCAGCAAGTTGATAAAAAGTGAGATTTTAATTACGTCTGCTTTGTTAATTTAAAGATTATAATTGTGTGCATGAGAGAAGACTGTGTAAAGAGCTCTTTTGCAAACATTTGATTGCTTTCTTGGTTAATAAAGTGTGCAAACCAGCTTTCTTTGCAACTTTGCAATCATTTTTATTGCTTCTTTTATATTACATAATTGAATAACGCCCACTGAGGCCATGTTAGTGGGTGGGTCAGAGTGTAGTACTGCTTACAGTACAACAGAGGGCAATGCTAAGCAGCCATGAGCTGGTGGACATCAGGAGTAACCTGGCAGTGAAAGGTTGTTCAGTGTTTCCGTCCTCATCATTTATAATAGATACAAAATTTAAGGTCAAGATGCAGTTTCCTCAGCAATTAAGGCCGTTTAATTTGGCTGATGTCCCTCTGGTGAAAATAAAGTCAATTAGTAGTTCGATAACAATTCAATCAGGTCATGAAATCACATACCGGAGGCATTTTGAAATGAATTAGCATCCTATTTAAGAGAAAAGTATGCTAAGTGAAACAGAAACTGGGACTAACAAATTTATTAAATGACAAGAGAGGAAAATAGGTTAGGAAGGGATGTTTAATGTCATCTTTATATTTAGACAGCATTCAAGTAAATTATGATTTGGAGGGAAAAAAAAAGGTCTTGTAATGAGACACTGATATCTGGTGCACTGCGTCCTCTCCTCCTCTCAGCTGAAAGATCCAGCAGGCCAGAAGGCAGGAAATTAGATTACAGGAGCAGACAGCACAGCTCCAATAAGATTTCTTCTCAGTCACTGTCTGGTTCAGGTGCAGCACAAGAGCACAGACCACAGGACAGAATAAAGCCTGACATGTTCAGTTGTTGGTTGGATCCTGCCCCAACGTTTGTTTTTTTTTTAAATCACCCTGGACAGAAACATCAGGGCTCACTTTGCTGTTTTTCCGGTTGAATCCATTAATCAAATTTCCTCTCCTCATTTCCAGATTGCCAGACCAGACCTCCAGACAGCAGGATCAGATCACTGATGTGAAAAACACAAGAAAAAAAATGAACAGATCAAACATAAATCAAATTATTTCACAGTAAATGATTTAATAAGACTCGATTATTTACTTGGTTCTTGGAATACTATAAGGCAGTAGTAAAATGCTTGAATTATAAATTTGTAAATCAAAAGTGGTATTGAGAACTACAAATGTAGCCTACATGGATAGACCAAAATTAACAGGCTTTCGTCAAATAAACTGTAAAGTACAAAACCTAATCTCCTGTTTAAGCATTCAGCATTTACCAAAACAGTATGAAGGGGTATTAAAAAAGTGTGTTTACTTGTAGTTGCATTCATGGCATTGAGGTCAAGAGTCATATTTACTGAGCTGTTCAGTCATGTTTTCCACAACATTTAAAGGTCCTGTGTGTAGGATTTAGGGAGGTATATTGGAGGAAATGGAGTAGAATATAACAAGTGTGTTTCCTTTAGTGTATAATCATCTGAAAATAAGATTTGTTGTGTTTTTGTTATAAAATTATTTCTACATACAGAGCAGGTCCTCATCCACTGAGGTCATTTTGTTCTACGATAGTAAGAACACACTAACCAAACATACCTCTAGATGGGGACATTTGCACTTTCATGATTTCTACATAGTCAGCTGTCCCTCAGCAGCAAGAGCATCAGAATACACTGATATTTTAAAAGTGAAAGTGCTTAATTCAGTGGTTTTACCAGTTGAAATTGCCTGGTCTGTTTGTTTTGGAGAGGAAGACACCTCTACAGATTATTATGGATCAGAAAGAAGATGAGCAAACATTAAGTTGAGAAGAAAGGTGAGCACACATCAGCAGTTGCTGGGCTAGCAGCCCATCTGTTTATTCAGAGTTTTCATCAATTCTAATGACCTGGTCATTGTGGATAACTTGGATTGGCTATGATGGTTTTTTCAATATTTTGAGCACATGTTAGGCTATATTTTGTGCTACAATGACATTAAGCACTATTTTAATCTAAATGTTGAAGACTTTCCATGAGTCCATAAAGTTAATGTAAGTGGAAAAGCTGTTATTTTATTTGCTAGTTGACATGATGTCAATATGGGACAACAGCTAAGTTTTTGTTGTTGTTTTGTTTTCTTTACAACAAGAACAAGAACCACATTTTATGGCTGTGATACTGCAGGGCCAATGTGGCAATGCCATATCTCCATGATAAAAGAAAAGTCGGAGCAGAAGAGGGGCAACTGTGTCCACCTTGACAGGACAACATGGCCAGTGATGGATATAGCCATAGTAATTTCAAGGATAATCCTTTGAAAATAAACATTTGTTTATAAAGTCAATACTTGTTAAAATATCTTCCACAAAGCATTGTTTATTTTTCATGTACATAGAAAAATATTACATAGTTCTTTCCAGAAACTCTCTCTAGGAAATTATGAGGATACTGTATACCCTTAATATAAAGTGCTATCCTCTTTTTACTAAACATAAAACTTCACATAGTCAAATTATTATAAAATACCTACCATGTTCGAGATCTTAAGCGTAGAATATGAAGTCCACCCAGGTTGAAAAAATTACACAGAAACTTTCAAATTCCCAGACTAAAAACAAAGGACCTGACCTCAGTGGTCTCTATGACCCTGCATGTACTGATGTGTGCTAAGCAGAGGTGTGGACTTGAGTCACACGACTTGAACTCGATTTCAAATTTGATGACTCTGAACTCAACTTGACAAAATCGAAAAAGACTGCAACTCGACTTGGAATTTAACACCAATGACTTGAAAATATTTGATACCTTCCCCAAATCAAAACTGTGCCACAAATCAGTTCATTTCCCTAAATTTCCTGAATAAACTAACATTAAGGCAACTTAACTTCCCAGATTCACTTGTTTGAACCAATGTAACCAAAGTTACAGGAGAGAACCATGAAGAACTAATGTGACATTACTGAGCAGCAGTTGGAAAACATGACACCAAAGTTAATTTTCTTTGCGTACAAAATGTGGTGGTTAACAGAAAAAGAATTGCAGTATGCAAAACATGTGCGTCAAAACTTACCGATGGAGATACAAAAACTTCTAACAAACTTTTAAAAAGCATATATGATTTTTTATTTACTCCATTGTAGACATTTACTTTTGTCAAGAACACATTATGAGTGTCAAAGTTTAGGACTTGGGACTTGACTTGAAATTTACCTGTTTTGACTTGCGACTTACTTATGACTTGCAAAACAATGACTTGGTTCCACCTCTGGTAATAACAAACATAAACCCACATTTCCTTCTATCCCTGTAGAGAAAGAGGTGTATTGGATTGTTTGAACATTTCAGCTGCTTTAAGGCATTGTAAATTCTAAAGATTGCTGGGGGCCAGACATGTCAGCACCTGAAAAATGTTGAGTGACAGATCCAACAAACTTTTCACTGTGGTGTGGGCCTGTAAAAATCTCAATTCTCCAGAGCTGGATTACCTGCTTGAAGGAGGAAACTGAAATACTGTGCTGAATGAGATTTTTTTCATGTTCGAAACACATGATAACAACTTTATAGTACTGTCAATGGTATTTTTTTTTTTACATTATTTGTTGATTTCATTATTCTTTTGTTTCAGCAGCTAAAGGTACACAATAGGGAACGAGGGTTACGTGTATCCTGGCACTGGACCTGTATAGTATTTGCGTTGCTTATCTGCCATAAATCAAGGATTTCAAAAGACAAAGTTGTGTCTCTTTGACCAGACTGTACGCAGACAATCGATAATGGGAGTGTATGTTTTTTTGTATGGGTTCATTCAGTCTCCTTTGTGTGACGTTACTGTGCCCACACCAACTAGATGGGAAAAAGAAAAAGAGAACTTGGCAACAGAAAGCAGGGATTTCATTTGAATGTGTTTACCAGTATTTCAAAAGATCATTGATATGGGTCAAACTTATTACTGAGAGGTGTGAAACTGCTTCCGCTTCTGTTCTTTCCCACTTCACTTTGCGTGGGTGTGTTTCACAAGAACTTTCAGGCTATTCAAATTCATGTGCAACCGTTTAAACCCAATGGCTACTGTAAACGGCCTATGAGACAGAGAGAAAGAGACTGAGGGAGTCGGTCTGTATGCATGGAGCTTATCTATATGTTGTGTGGGGAGAAAAAAACAGCAGCTGTTGTTTTGAATCGTATATTTTTCATTCCACTTTCCAGGATGGCCGACTGTAGGATACTGAAATTATGTTGTGGTTTCTGTAAAGAAGCCTATGTGACTGAAATTTGGATATTTGTTCGCCTACTGTGTCATGTACGACCTACAGAAGCCTCTCTGTGACCTACTTTCCATACATAGTTGACTCTTAATGGGAACAGCCCCCCTTCCAAAGGTTGCTTAGCTTTGGGGAGTGTCCTCCCATGGCCTGCAGCTGTGAGCTCTGGCTGACACACAGAGTGTGTTGCGCAAGTCCTACGACGCTTTAAACAAGGTAGAAGGGAACATAACTTTGACCGTGGACTTGTAGCCTATATTATGAGTTTATCTATCATGGTAGTTGTTTTGTATTCTTTAGACTTGGACCTGCAGACTCCCATAAAAACAACTGTAATAGTATCACCCATGACTTATGTCCTTATAAAGACAGGAACGTTAGAGTGGCATCTTTCAAAAGCAAACATTAAGTGAGTGCTGAAAGAAACACTAAAAATTGAAATATGAAGCCCAAAAACTGAACGGTAATAGAAGAGAAAATGAATCCAATAAAACAATGTAACTTGGGTCGAACGATATAGAGGGCAAATTTTAAGATTTAAGAGCCCAGATAACACAAAAAATATTAAGAAGTTCCATTACCATATTAGCAAATGCCCAAAATAGTCTTGTATGTACTGTCATTTTCGTTCTCTCTACAAGTTAAACAGTCTTTTTCCCATACAAACCTGAGTCTACTAAAAACCATTTGAGGTGTTGTGGGTTAATTCAGCACAACTTAAAATTAAAGGGAGGAATGTTCCCACTGAATGACCTGTAATGACTTACTACAGGTATAAAACAGTATGACATTTATATGGTGGTCATTTGTGTGGTACTTTAACTCTGAATTTGGCTTTTGTATCAGCGCTCACACTGGATTATGGCACAAAGGTTAACTTCATACAGTAGGCCTACTTTGTGTATTCAAAAGATAGTCTGTAAATCAATATTTGAAGATGGATAAGGATCAAAAGTTCACATTTCCTTACTTCTTTTCATTTCACTACTCTTGCACCAGTTGAAATATGATGAGAGGGCTAAATGACTGGTTTCAATAAAACGGTCAAGGTTTTGTTAAAGCAAGAAGACAGATAAGACATGGGGGATGGGCATCTTACAGACAAGAGCCATATCATTACAGCCTGTTGCAGCTGTGTGTGAGCAGCACAACAGGTTTCTCCTACGCAAACAGGAACTGAGGAGCAACAAATCCTTTTGTCACCTCGCAGAAAAAAGTAGGAAATGGGTCAACAAATCGCATTTATTTTATTATTTAAACGAAGGGTTGACGTTACATAACACTAAACTATATGTATTGTGGATTTAAACCGTCAAATGGTGTTTAATGTAAGCGCAGATTTCATTCTTATGCCACATAGACGGATTATACTGTTTTGAAAGCGCTTGTTTTCTCACTTCTCTCAGGAGCTCCAACAAAGGAAAGGAGAGGAGGGTCGGCGATTGACGTCACCAGTCTGGCAACAGGCGTGAATGCGTCTGTCATTCTCGTCGGTGATTGGTCGTCGCGGTGGAACTCGGCGCGTGATTGGTCAGATCTGGGTTAGAACGGGCTACATATCTCTGCTGTAGATTCCATTTTGTTGCAATTCAGACGGAGTCAGGAGAGAGGAAGAAGTGGCGTCCTACGGCCACTGTTAACACCACTTAACCTTCGAGGGCGACGGATTTGTGGGAAATATAGCTTGCTGTGCTTTCTTACAAAGTCCGCCGAGGGATCTCAACGTTCAAACCGCATATTTTCTCGGACGAAAGGCTTCGACAACCAAGCCTGAGGAAGTCGGTAAGAGAATCAGTTTTGTGCCTCGTCGCCATATTGAGTTCACCGTTTCTTTGTTTTGGTTTGGTGCCAGAGCGGTGTGACCAAGAATTTTGACGCGTTATTTACTTAACCAAATGTTGGGAGTATGTATAAATCATAGCGTCGATCGAAATGATGATTTTAACGGCGTTTTGTCGCAGAAGATCTCCTTTATGATCCTCTTGGTAGGACAAAGCGTCTGCATTAAGCCGTTAAGCGCACAAACAAAAGTGGGATAACATCGCAGTACGCTTACGTAAGATTTTGTTATGATGAGTCGCCATCATTTTATATATAACGTTTATGTTCTGACGAAAGGATTCGTGGTCAATGTTACACCAGTTATTGATTTTTTTTTTTTTTTTTTTTGCATTGCTGGATGCAATGACGCACTCTAAAATAGGACGTCCCATCATAAAAGACAACACTATGCTATTCTAAATTATAGACGAGCACTGCTAATTTACTAAGTTTATTTAGCATCTCTAATTGACATTTTTTGCCCCCATAGCCTTCGACTTCTTGGATCAATCGTGTGCCGAGGTGAATTGATGTTCAGCTCGGCTCCACGGGAAAACAACGCTCATTGGCACATGAAAACTTCGGACCTTGCTGGACACAGAAGTGCAGCGAGAAGTAGACAGAGGACTACTTCGAGGACCTGGGGACCGGTTGGAGGTGAAAGATTGAAGAGAGAGCTCTGCTTCATCAACTTTCTGACAACAAAGAGGTGAGCTGGGGCTGTTTTGCTCTGGGCTGTGTGTGTGGGGGAGGGGCGGCGCAGGCTTGGCTGTCTGGTGTTCCTGCACGTAACCCTCTGTGCTTGTTTTCGTCGAGGCTGGTGCAAGCGTGTACGTGCTGTGTGGACGGATTAGGCTTTGTCCCGTTTACACTTACAATAAATAGAAATTTAATCGATCACAATATATTCCAAAGATTTCAATGCACTGAAGTAATAATATATTTTAATCGTTTAGGTGACACGTAGTGCAGAAGCAGCATGGGAGGTGGAGAGAGATATAACATTCCAGTTTCCCACCCTGAGCGCCCTTTGCCAAAGAAGAACCATCAACTTGGCCGGGCTAAGCAGAGAAGCCGTGACCAGAACGGAGTAGCAGCTTCTGCAGGAGGGGCAGGTGGCCTTCATCATCACGGTCACCGCCGAAGTGACAAAGGCGTTGCATACCACAGGTCTCCGGAGGCGCGGCAGGCCGCGTCTGCAGAGAAGAATGCTTCTGTCCGCTTTGCCACCTATGATCAGAACTGGGAGGGTGCAGTGTCTCACCTCAACACGCTCCTGGCAACACAGGGAAGTCCAAGCTACGCAGGGCCTAAGTTCAGCGAGCCACCCTCGCCCAGCGTGTTGCCCAAACCCCCCAGCCACTGGGTGTCCTTCCCAATAGGCTCCTGTGACAACAGGGAGATGATGGCCTTCCAGCTCAAGAGCCTCCTCAAGGTGCAAGCCTGAGAGGGATACCCACACTCGATTGAAAAGCCAATGTATGAACTGGGACTCTTCAGAGGGCACCCACTCACCCACCAGGAACACCTCAGTGCTGTAATACTTTTTAGCTGTTTTTAGATCGACCTCTTTTGGTGTAGAGAGCATTTGCAGTAATGTTGACTGTAAATGTTTATTCAACACTCAATTTTTTAAACCAATGTTTCAAAATATTACAGCCTTGAAGTCTTGCTGGTCGGTAATGCCTTCAGCGGAGTCAGTTTCTGTGACTAATGATGAACTGGATATCCTTTCTACTTCTGTTTTGTTATTTTTATTGTTGGCTGTCAAAAGCAGATTGAGTGTGCTTTGCCACCACAAACAAGGGTTATAGGATAGGTCAGGTAACTTCCCATCACTTTTACGGTCCATTTCTGTGGACAGACATGCTTTTTCATTTCACAAGTTTTATGATGAGCCTTTGGGGTCACCTCTAAAGCTTCAGGTGCTAAAGCAAAATCACATTTGTAGCATATTTTTTGACTAGGGCCCGCCTTTTCATTTGTATATGACAATCCTTGTTTGGGATGGGAAAAGACACTCGACTGCAATTCTGCAGGGAAAGAAGCTATCTTACTGGAGGTCAAAAGTATAACCTCAAACTGAAGGGTAAAAAGAGACCATGGCACACGGGCCTTGGACTGTCAACTCCTGTACCTTTTTTATTGCGCTGTGCGCACATGCACTATAGGAGTTGAGCTGGTCCTCGGCCTACAACACTCTATCATAGCATTATTTTGTACAAGTCCTTGATTGTTGTGGTTGAAAGATGTATGAAGTGTTTGTAACCAAAGCAATGTTTTTGCTGTGTTTTTTTTTTTCTCCTTTTTTGGACAAATGTGGTCGGCTCTTTTGCCATTGCCACTAACCTTGCCAGCCCGAGTGGTGAATGGGTCTGAGCCCCCAGGGTCACTTCTAGCTGTTCATCTGTTCCAATCAGTACTGTTATGCTCCCCAGTCTCAGCCTTTTCAGGACAGAGCTGCAGCTTTAACACGCGGAAGAGGGCCTGGCTTAGTTGTGGGACTGTTGAGTTTCACTTTCTAAGCCATGTGACGTGGTCCTGTTGGCTGCATGCATTTGTAAGCAGTGTAAGGCAGAGCTGAGGACGCTTTCTGAATCGAAGTGGCCCCAGGGACTCAACATGAGGCAGCAGGCTGGTGTTTATGTTTACAAAGTAGGTCGTGGTGGTTGACCATCCCATAATCAACAGACACTCTCTGCCTCTTGCCTCTGCCTCTTGTTTACCCTCTTGCACTGCAATCAGACTAGTTTTGAATAAGTTACAGGCCAGGATGCTATTGAAATGATGGAGGCGTAATTGACTATCTCCCTATGGATTCTCTATTTTTGTGATTCAATCCTCTGTTGAGGCTCTTTTTGCTTTCCCCTTGCAGAATTGTTGGTGTTTATAGCCAGCCTAAAGATGACAAAACAAAGTATGAGAGCTTGTTAATGTGTTCAAGAGCCATGTAAATAATGAAATAATGAAATGTATAAAGTACTTGTAGCATATGTACATTTGCAGGCCGAGTTTGAGGCCTGTATGACAAAAGTATTTTTAGTAATAACACTGAATGTATAAGACATGCTAAGGACATGTCTTGACTTCAATACTGAAGAATATTTTTGTTAAAAAAACTGCCTATAGCATTTCTCAGTACCCCTGCACTGTTATCTTTCCAGAGATCTTGCACATGTTTTTTATTGTTTTGTATTATGCAGTGTAGGGTGAAATATGCATAGTGCAAATGACATAAAACTGCAAACACAATTGGATCCTAGAGGAGACTTGCCCATGTATGAATTCAAGTTCTGAATGTGCTTACAGTCTGTAAGCGTGATGCTTTTAATCTTGAGTTGACCTGTTTGTGCCTAAGTTGAAATCCATGCTGAAACTGAATATTTTCATTAGGTGGCAATGCCACAAATTGACCAAATGTTGTTGTTTTTGTTTTTTTTTTTAAACCAGAACCATCTTCAGTTCTCAGCTGTTCTTCCGCCAGCTGACAACTGAACTTGGCCCCATGCTGTTTAAGTTCTACGTTCAAAGGGTTCATGTTAACATTTTCTTTCTTGCTGTGATTGAATTGTGCATGGCAGTCTCCTGTATTCAAAATTTTAAACATGTAACGAATTGGCTGTTAATTTGTCCCCCCTGATGAAATGTCACCGAAGATAAAATGAAAATGCCCTGTTAATGATTGGTATGAATTGGATGTTTAAAAAAAGGCAAATGTAAAAGAATGCACTGAATTGATGACAAATTTTTACAAAAAGAAAAAATAAATCCCTTTCCCCTCCCCCTATTTTTGTCTGTGCTTGAGTATCTTCTCACTGGTGCTAACATTTAGCAGTAATATCACCCAGGAATAGACTTAATGTATTCATTGCCATCATATCCAGTGATTTGTTAGAGCAGGGTGTCTACAGGACACTTTAATTGGTTTTAAAGATGTTTACAATGCCATTTCTGACCAAAGCCTGACAATTTAGCTTTTCATATATAATGCACTGCAGGTAATTTTTAGGCTCAACAAATATGTATGTTGTCCTTTGCAAAGGTAGGTTATTAGTTTGTTAATCTACAGCAGGATTGTTAAATTATAAATTCAGTTGGGCTGGGACCAGAAAAGTTTCACACATTTTCAGCAGCGAGCAACCTATAAAAACCTTTTTAGCTTTTGGTAATGACCAAATGCAAATTGATGTAGTAAAAGTAGCAATGTTTATAGTGTACGACAGGTTGCCTCCTCCTGTCTTATCTATAAACTTAATAGTTACTGAAATATCTATCAAAGGGCTGTGGGTCAAGTAAAACACAGACAGCTTCTCCGAGGAACTTGATCCACTTTTATCTCCCCAAATAAGGAAGGGCAACTCCAAATAGACAAGAGTGGCATCTCACCTCTTGTTTATCACTCCGCCAAACTTCATTACTCTTATTACCTGCACATAAGTTGTGCAATAGTAAATAGTTCCCAAATGTAATGTGAGGAGCAAATTAAATGTGTGTCGTGAACATTAAATAATGTTGCTGCAAAGTAACTAACAATGAAAAACAAGACATTGTACTTGATTCGTCCTCATGAAAATAAATCCCCTCTTACAGCAGTTTCACATTTTAAATATTCTTAGTCACATATCTGACCGAGGAACATCCTACTATGCAGAAAAACAATAAAGAGCTACCAATGTTCTCGACAGAGCACAGACATCAGTATTAATCATTCATTCTGCTCTCTGTCCCCCCTCTCCTGCGAGACTGTCTGCAGGTGGATTACCTCAGGTACATTTTAGATAAGTGGCAAACACAAACATGAAACCACACCTTTAGCAAGTAACGATGTAAGAGCCAATAATACTGGTTGTCTTTAATTTGACTCTGGGCCTCTGTATGTTTCCCTGGCCAGGCCACTCAGATTGCTCCTGGGCCAGATGTGGCCCACAGGCGGCCAATGTACAGTACTCTTAACAGATAAGTATAAAGTAAAAAGACAGTATTGGGTTCAGTGGTAGGTTTAAATATGTGTACCATTAGAAATGTGGACTTATATACAGAACAACTTGACTTGTTTTACCGAAAAGGGATTAAAGATGAATGAATGAAATCAGATAAAATGCATGGCAATAAAGACAGCAAAAATACAAACTTGACCACTATTAAGTGACTTTTAAGACCTAATATTTATTAAAGTGAATTTAAGATTTTAATGACCTTTGGACCAGCCTGGACTGCAGGAGCTCTCATTTGTTGCAATCTGAGTCACAGTTCAACTTGTGGGGTCAGAAAATAAGCATTGAGGCTTCTTCAGTTCTTTATTGACAAAGCATACCAAGTAAACTAGGATAACAGTACTAAGGAACACTTGAAATATTCGCTGGAACAAAGTACAAGAGAAATGAATACAGTTTATCTTAAACATATTGTTACATACAATACTGGACAAAGTATAAGGTAGCAAATAACTGTCATTCCATTCATCATCCATTGCTACAGTATTTACAGCTACTATAGTATACAGCAGTATAACAGTGCCCCTGACACCGGGCATCCAAGAACAGCATAGTTAGTTAATACTGGTTAGTCAGGGCCTGAAATTCAGATTAGTAATTTGTGTTTTTATTACACACAAAAAATAGAGCCAAAGTGAAACAGGCATCATACTAACAAATGATGTAAATATTGCTAACTCAGAGTACAAAAATACTGGCAATGCCAAACTTTATTTTACCTTCAGCAACCCTTATTATACAAGTCCAAGCATAAACTGATAACGATCATCTGTGCTTTCATAGATCACTTTAGAACAAAACACATTTCCTCTAAAACAAATGTCTGTGCTCCTGCTGCTCTCTTACCTTTGGCAACAGACTCCATAATGTGGTGATAACAAATGCAAACACTCTACTTATCGTAGCCGAACAGAAACATCCTCAGAGACAGATTAACACAGCTTTGGTGGGACAGTCAGTCAGTGGCCTCCGGACTTGCGTCCGGCCCACGACCTGGAGCGAGAGCGTGACCGGGACAGGGATCTAGAGTAGGAGCGTGACGGGGATCGTCCACTGGGCTGTTTGTGGGAGCTGGAGGTTGGGTGGAAGTCCTCAGCCGGGCTGTGGGATCTGGACTGGCTCTTTTTACCTTTGGGCATGGGTCTGGAAGGTGAAGGGGAGCGGGACGCAGAGTGGCTTCGTGAGCCTGCTGCATGGTGTGTCCTGTGGTGCTCACGAGGAGGACCTCTGTACCTGGAAGGATGATCATTAAGTTTAGAATGATACAACAGTCTTTACTTATTTTACATACTACAAGATGACCAATGAGCCTACTTTTCATTTTCATGGCTTCTGCTCCGTCTGTGTCGACTGTAGGACCGAGATCTGTAAAGAGAACAAAAACACAAACCAGTTTTTCAGGGTGTAACTTAGACATTATAAAAGACCTGGTGCACCACCTTATTCCTGGATAGAGGAACAATGACGTCTTGTAATTTGGCAGTGTATAACTTCCTGCTTTTTTACAGACCAAACTGGTTTATACCAGCTCCAGAGTGCCTAAAATAGTCAGAATACACAAGTACCTTAAGGTTAACTGCACTTAGATATTCTTTTTCTTTTTATTAGTGTGCTGGGGAATGAAGAGAACGATCACACCTGAACTAAAACCATACATGGTGCTTCAGATATGACGTTATGATGTATCATGTGATGTTATGTAACCTAGATGTTAGTTTAAGTCACAGGTGGGTTCACTTAAAAACCCTACTAGGGTCAGGTATTGAAAATATTTGATACCAGAGCCAATATAACGTCATGTCAGTACAGACACCGAAACAGTACTTTTCCCACTACCTTAGTTTGGATAAAATTTGGAGCTAAATGTTGTGCCTGGAGCACATTGTGTATTGATACTCCTTACCTGGAGAGATTGGAAAATGATATACGTTTCTTCCCTGTTCCAAAACCAAAATCAAACCCTGAAAAGTGTAGGGTTAGCTAGCTAGCAAGTCAAGTCAAGTCAAGTCAAGTCAAAATTTATTTATATAGCACATTTAAAAACAACCTCGGTTGACCAAAGTGCTGTACAGTTCATCCAAAGAGTGAATGAATAGCAAAAACCACAAAAATTATCAATAAGATCAACAATAAGTTTAGACAATAAAACATCAACACTAAAGTACAGGTTAAATACAAATAAAAGCTGTAAAAGACATATCTGTCTCAACTAGAGGTGAAAGCAAGCGAAAAGAGGTAGGTTTTTAAAAGAGATTTAAAGTGTTCCAAAGTTCGGGCTGCCCTTATATGGAATGGTAAAGTATTCCATAAATTTGGCGCCACAACGGAAAAGGCTCTGTCACCATTGTTTTTAAGTTTAGTTCTGGGACAGGCCAGCAGCAGCTGGTTGCATGATCTCAGTGCTCTGGCTGTCGTGTGAAGCTGAACAAGCTCAGATAGATAGGATGGAGCTAAGCCATTCAGGCTTTTAAAAACAAATAAGATTTTAAATTGAACTCTAAACTGGACAGGGAACCAGTGCAAGGAGGCCAGTATTGGGGTGATATGATCACGTCTTTTCACAGCCTGCAGGCGTTTCAGTGACTGCTGGTCCAATCCAGCATAAAGAGAATTACAATAATCCAGACGACAGGTAATGAAAGCGTGAACTGCCCTCTCAAAATCAAGTGGAGGGAGGTAGGGCTTTGCCTTACTAAGTAGCCTTAATTGAAAGAAGCTTGATTTGACTACTGAACTAATCTGTTTTTTAAATTTAAAGGCACAGTCAAAAATTACTCCTAGGTTCCTTGCAGCAGGGTGACAGTAGGAAGCCAATGGGCCAATGGCACTGTCATAGCCATCTAAAAGGTCAGACTGGCCAAATAAAATAATTTCAGTTTTGGATTTGTTTAGGTTCAAGAAATTTGAAGCCATCCATGTGTGAACATCATTGAGACAGTTCAGCAGAGCTTGAATGGAGGCAGAGCTGTTTGTTTGAAGAGGAAGGTAGATCTATAAGTCATCTGCAAAGCAATGAAATGTTATATTGTACTTTCTAAATATAGCACCCAGGGGCAGCATATAAATGGAGAAGAGAATGGGGCCCAAGATGGAACCTTGAGGCACCCCACAATTGAGTGAGGATGCAGCAGATCTATAATGGCCCATGTGAAGAGAGAAACTCCTTTCTGATAAATAGGATTCAAACCATTTGAGCGCAGTACCTTTAACACCTACACACAGGTCAAGACGTGATAAAAGAATCTTATGATCTACTGTGTCGAAAGCTGCAGTCAAGTCTAAGAGCACCAGAACAGCAGTGCTTTAAAGCCCGACTGGAACTTTTCAGAAATGCCATTTAAGTCCAGATGCGACTGCAGTTGTTCATACACTACCTTTTCTAAGACTTTGGACAAAAAAGGGAGCTTAGAAATAGGTCTGTAGTTCGACAAAACTGAAGGGTCAAGATTATTAGCTACTGAAGATAAAGCCTACTGAATGTATACACATGCTGCTTTTGCTTTTTAATGATTATAACAGTGAAAAAAAGACCGACCCTGCTGTACAGGAACCAGTGAAGGGAAGCAGGGAAACTGCTGATATTCAACCAGCTGTGTGTCGTCACACTGTGGGCAGATGAACATTGTTTGACTTCCCCTGGAGATCCCCGCGATCAGCAGTGATGTGGTGGTTCACTTTTACACTGTGATCTGTAGCCTATAGTTCGGCTTTAGCTTCTAACTATCTTTGTCTTTTTAACCTGTTGTTGCTGCTGAGTCAGTTTGACATCCTGGATATATCCTTCAAACACAGA